AAATATTTTTCATTTTTTAAATTTTTATCTCCATATTTTGTGGGGACTTAAAGTTTAACATATCAATACTTGATGAAAAATGCCTGCTCCATGTTATGCCTAAGATGTCTGATATTGAGACAGATAGTGAAGTTAAACCCAGCTGCGTATGTTGTAGGGCAATAATAAGCTTTTCTTCTGCAGGGTTAACAACCTGAGTTTGCAGACAAAAAATTAGAGAAATAGAAGGACTGGAAGGACAGCCTACATTTTGACCCTAGCCTTTCAAGGTCAGTGAAGACTTAGAACATAGGAGAACCTATACTATAACATCATGTAACTCAATTTTGTCCCAAATTTTCTGACCAAGGAGATTATGGAGCCACAGAACAACGTGATTGATGACGTTGATTTTGCCTAAGGAGAGTCACCAGGAGTGAAAACTTTCTCTGAGGCTTTCACAGAAATCAAGTTGGTCAAGCAATGGTGACTCGGCCCGCGAGTCGAGACGTGGGGTAATGACCTGGAGGAGGAACGGAGACGAAAAAGACAGGGCAAGAGACACAAGAGACGGAGACAAGACAGGCTTTCTGATCAAGTCTCGTTTATTGAGGAAGTGAACAGGGTCTAAATAGCCGTATAGTGGAAGCAGTTGGGTGGGACTAGTTGTGCATTGGTAGTGAAGATCCAGGACCACAGGAAGATGTTGAGGCAAGCGGGGATTGGTGCTGCAGCACTTCTTGCCCAAATAAGGGAAAATATAACAGGAGCATTCTATCGCCCCCCACACAATGGCCATAACTCATCCACATGGCTGACACTGACAAAGGATCTGCAACCCATGGTAGGGGGTTATAGAATAAATTCCGAGGGTACTTGACTGACCTTATGAGATACAAATGCTACATTTCTTGTCATATAGGTCTTTCTTTATCTTGCTTTTAACCATCCAGCAGAAAAAAGCTATATTAATATGCTGAGCTGTGAAAGGCTCAAGTCAACAACTTCTGTGGATAACCCACTACTATTGTGGACTGCTGGACTGTGTTGGATTGTTTTGCTGAATTCATGCACCTATAGTATTTAGATGCCAACGAAATACCCATTTCTGACAGGAGAAAACAAAAAAATGGGATACAAAGGAAGGACCATTTTGTATCTGTATATGCAGAATAGTTAGGATAGATATACAGCTATATTCACTTAATTCAATGAGAAGAAAGATTTGTACAAATAGTGTTCGGACAGGATATTCTGTCTGCATCTTGTACTATGGATAACCACTAACAAAATAACAATGTACAATGTATTAATTATTGAAACTCTCCTATCAGTTTTGAAACTGTCTTATTGCTATTTGTTTCTCAAGAAAATAAAAGAAAAAAAAACTAATGATTTGAAATTATACTACAAAGGTACTGTGATAAAATCAGCATGGTATTGGCAATGAAATACACCTGAGGATCAATGGAATAGATTAGAAGATGCAGAAGCAACTACAGACACACTCAGCCATGTTATTTTTGACAAAGGGGCCCACTATGCTTACTGGAAGAAAGATAGCCTCTTTACCAAATGGTGCTGGAAAAACTGCCTCTCCACATGCTGAAAACTACAACTGGACTATTATCGCATGGTCTATCACCATGCAATAAACTAGAATAAAAATAGATTAAAGATCTAGGCATTAAAACAGAAACAGTAAATCCCCTGGAAGAGAAAGTAGGAGGAAGTCTTGATGACATGGTGGTAGGCAAATAGTTCAGGAACAAAAATCAAACTGCACAGGTAATACTTGGAAGAATTAACAACTGGTACCTCCTCTTATTGAGAAGTTTTTGCACATCAAAAGAAATTACCAACAAAGTGAAAAGACAACCCACAAATTTGGAAAAGATCTTAACTAATAAGCACTCAGACAAAGGTCCCCTCTCTAGTATTTATAAAGAACTAAAAAACATGAGGGCCCCCAAATTTAAAAACCCAATCCAGAAATGGGCATCTGAGATGAACACACACTTCTCAGAGGAAGAAGTTCTAGAAACTAATAAATATATGAAAAAATCATCCACATCACTAGCCATCGGTGAAATGCAAATTAAAACAACACTGAGATACCATTTTACCCCAGAAAGAATGGCTATCATAAAGAAATCAACCAAAACCAAATTTTGCAGAGGCTGTGGGGAAAAGAAACCCTTCTCCACTGCTGATGAGAATGTAGACTGGTGCAACCATTATGGAAATTAGTGTGGAGACTCTTTAAAAAACTAGAGGGCCAACTAGATAGGTCAGTGGATTAAAGCATCTGCTTAAGCAGACTCACAGACTGAGGTTTAATCACCAGCGTGCCATGACAGCCCAGCCTGGGGTGCACTGAGAAGGCAATTGAGACTGGGTTTGTGGTGTGTGCCTGTAATCCCAGTGCTTGGGAGGCTGAAAACAGGCAGATCACTATGAGTCTGATCTGTATAGTGAAACCCTTTAGACCTTGTACTAAATACATTAAAAAAAAAAAACAAAAAACTGAAAGGGATATGCAGCCTGATGCCAAGATCAACCTGAAACAGAATTTTAGATCCAACAAAACATAGACATAGGTCTTTACAATGCAGCAAAGCCCACAGGGCTGCCAGTGGTACTGCCATGTGCATGCCAAGCAAGAGTTGCCCTACTGGGAAGGCTCCAAGAAACAGATTGACTACAAAGGTGCGTGAAGCTGCACAGGACAAATTTGGGACACAAGGCCTCATGCTTCTTTTGCCTTCCTCACACAGAGAATGCTGCAGCCTGGCAGCAAATATCACCAACACACACGTGAGCAAGTGAAGTATTTAGAACCTTTGCATGAGAAAATGAGAAAGATCAAATCATGATCCATCAAGACCTATTAGTTCATGCCTTCACCCTCTAGCTGGGGAAGTGCAAAGGGAACTGGGTAGGAAAGGTAAAGCCCTGGAGGATTTAGCCACATGAAGCCCAGGGTGAAGGCAAAGGGAGAACAAAATGCACAACACTCCAATTCTCCCAATCCTTAAAATCCTTAAAAGGTATTTGTAGTCCATAGACTGACCAATGGTATTGCTCTGAGAGAGTGCTACCAACCCAGGACAACAATCCTTGTCTAGTCCTGCTTGGCGTATAGAAGTCCTTAAGTTTTTTAAAATTTTTTTTTTACCACTTGTATCAGTCTCCCCAAGGATGAGAAGTCCTTAAACTCATGGACACAGATGTTTCTTTTTTCTGAACCCTTAGAAGAAGGACCTGAAGGAATTACTTCTCCTGCATGTTAGAATTGTAGGAACATAAGCAAGTTGTAGAACTTTAACTTAAGAGGATTAGAGTCCTTGTTGAGTCATGGATGTGACCTCTCCACTTCTCCACAAGTGTTAAGCTGTGTAAACTTTGTGACTCATTTTTCCAGGAATGCCAACTACTTCACTAACACCTGCAGGGCTGTAGAAGGCAGGACATGCGTTCTGCTCTCAGGGCTGCTGCTCTCCATCATCTGGAAAGGAAGCCCTGATGGCTGTTTCCAGGAGAGCACCCAAATGGGTGCTCTTATTTTTTAATTTTTTTAAATTTTATTTGTGTGTGTGTGTGTGTGTGTGTGTGTGTGTGTGTGTGGCCAGCTCAGCCCACCTGGGGGTGGGGCTGGCTGGCATGTGGTGCTGGGGGATTGAACGGCGGTCCCTATGCTTTGCTAAGCTTGTTCTAAGTAGGTGCTTTAGACCACTGAGCCATTTCACCAGCCCCACAAATGGGTGGTTTTAGCTTTGTGTTCAAACTAAGTGCTGCTGAGTCAGTCCTTTGCTCCCCAGGAAAGCATGGGAGCTGAGGTCCTGGGCCAGTGATGGACACAGGAGCTCCCAACCCTGGGTACAATGAGAGCACCTACTCAACATGTGCGTCACATCTTCAAGTTGCATCAGGAATTAATGGTAGATGAGAAAAGAAATGAAAATAACAGAACACCCATATCTTCTTCCTTCCTGGTCTGAAGTCACATGAGAACACAGACATGGCTGTGCTGAAGACGCGCTGACACTTCATTTGTGTAATCGGGAAAGGAGGCACCACAGAACCTTGAGGCTCTGCATCTCTAGCACAAGTGGTGTCCTGTGTTCCCGAGTAGTCCATCTTCACTCCCAGGACAAGAAGTATACGTGGCCCTGTGTATCTCCCACGGCGAGCTGCAGGGTCGAGTCAGGTCCCAGCCACGGGTCCAGGCAACTCACTGCCCCTTCACATCGGAACAGGCCCAGCTGAAAGGAAACACAAACGGGGGAGGTGAGGGCCAGCTACCCGCCCAGGGTCTCCTTAGTTACATTTTTCTCTCTTATGAATGAATGACTTTATTTAGAAGATGTGATATCACTGCTTCTAAATAAATTGAAGAAAATGGAATTTGACCTTGTGCCTGTTCTTACCCAAACAAGTTCTCTGGTAATATCCCTTTAGGCCCTTCATGCAAGTGTGCACGTCCACACACGAACACACATGCCCACATGCACATCCATGTGCACACCCACACACTTACCAGTTGCATACTGGGCCTTGACCACAGCTTCACATCTCTGTCCTTCGAGCCTGTCACCAGCATCTCAGGAAGCACATGGAGGGCTGTGACAGAATCCGAGTGAATCTGAGAAGAGGAAGAGGATGGGGAGGAGGAGATGTCATGCTGAGTGCTCCATAAAGGAAGCACTGAGGTCACTGTGTCAGCTTACAGCCTCCTCCCCTACCTTTGTGACCCTTCCTTCAAACTCACCTTTCTACGCTGCTGCACCTTTAACTTGTCCGCCCTGCCACATGCTGTGTCTGTCCCTGAAGCCTGGGCTTCAGGTGCTTTCACTTCTGTCTGCCAGATGTTGCCTGTGCTCCATTCTCCTCCGTGGGTGCATCCAGCCAGGGTCCACA